GAAGCGGTGGGCGCGCTCATGTGGCATACCATCATCCTCACTAAAGAGGATCTGGAGAAGTTCAAGGCGTTACGTATTATTGTCCGCATCGGATCGGGCGTCGATAATATTGATGTCAAAGCAGCCGGTGAATTGGGTGAGTTGTTTTTTAAGTTCTTTATTTTGTATAAATATATGTTAAGAATCAATTTAAGTAGGTCGTGGGTGATAGTACGAAGTCAGTATGGATTAGCTAAACATTTGCATTGTAAAGCCTATATAGATTGAGCAGATTGTGTTTCTTAAATTCTTTTTAATAGAAACATTCTTTGTTTTGAATATGTAAAGTATTTAGCCATTACTTTCTATTTATAAATACATCGAAATAAATCATTAAAATTTTTATGGTTTGACATTTCAAACTATCGTAGGTACATAAACAAATAACAAATCCCAAGTTTTTGACCAGTGGACGAGTTTCGTGGGTAGGAAATAATTTTCTTCGACTGTGCATTGCAGGTATAGCGGTGTGCAACGTACCAGGCTACGGTGTGGAGGAGGTGGCTGACACTACGCTTTGCCTCATCCTTAACCTCTACCGGCGGACCTACTGGCTCGCCAACATGGTGCGCGAGGGCAAGAAGTTCACAGGTACATTCACAACACTAACGAACGCACAAAATATATATATTAAATACTAGGTTTTATCCACGACTTTTATTTGTATATTTGTTTTCTTTTAAACTGGGTTCTGCATCTGTGCCAAATTTCATCGAAATCCTTTAAGCTGTTTTGGAGATAAGTAGAAATAAACACCTATCCATCCATCCATTCAAACGTTTGCAATTATAATATTACTGGCTGTCGCAAGTCTCCGTGCACGAGGAATTAAAAAACCAAATTAGTAGCCTATGTGTTCTTCCAGACTATGTTCTACATATAAGTCAAATTACACCTAGATTCGTTTAGCCGTTTTGATATACTTTCTACGTTAAACGTACATCAAAACATTCGCATTTATAATATTAGTAAGATATAGTATGAAGTTAATTTAGTCTATGGAGTGTATGTTTAAAAAAACAACATAACTTCCTCTGCCGCTTGTTTTCTTGCCATACCGAAGCAGAAAATAACTGCTCCGTACAGCATTTTATCTAAAGTTATCTGAGAATGAATGGTTATTGTTTGCATCGCCGTTGTTCCACCTGCCTCGATGTTTCTGTTCCCCGCTATACATTGAAATGTTCTAATCAGCGCATCTCTTCTCTATTTTTATACCAGTCTTGTAGTTTTATGAAAATGAAGATTTTGTTTGTATACGTTTCTTTTAGGATATGATTTTTTATTATTTTTGTGTTCTGTTAAGAATGCTTAAATGTGTGTAAATGAATGAAGTGAAAATCCCTCTCAAGTTTTAATGAAGGTTGGAATACTTTTTCCACTTATTTCCATCAAAGTTGTGTTTATAATACTGCAAACCAAGAGATGTTTCTATATTAATATTAAAATATCAGGCAATTTAGAACCTCAGTAATAATCTAGGCTTAGAGCATCAAATGCACGGTTAATTCTTATTTATAACTGATACAAGTTTACTGGTATATATAGTTGAATCTATCCACGTTGGCTTATCCAAGCGAGAAACATTTATAAGTGTGAAATATCCCGGTACCTTGACTCTCGGATGTCCATATGCGAATGTAAATGTATTGTGTTGCAGGTCCAGAGCAGGTGCGCGAGGCGGCGACGGGGTGCGCGCGCATCCGCGGCGACACGCTCGGCATCGTGGGCCTGGGCCGCATCGGGTCCGCGGTCGCGCTGCGAGCCAAGGCCTTCGGCTTCAACGTCATCTTCTACGACCCCTACCTGCCCGACGGCATTGAAAAGTCGCTGGGCCTCACCAGGGTCTATACGCTGCAGGTCACAACATGTTACATACTAGAGAAATTAAAAAAAATACTTAATAAGTAGTCTATGTGTTCTTTCATGCTATGTTCTACAATCATCAAGATCTGTTAAGTCGTTTCAGACATATCTTCTAACATCTATCCATCCATTCATCTAAACATTCGCATTTGTAAGATACACTAAGGTTTATACATAGTGGTATCTCTAGCAAAAGTACAGCAAACTATAGTACACACGCGATCATCATCAGCTATATGTTCTGACTGAAGGACTCCGAGCCTACTGTAAGTTAGAGGTGATTAGGCCATAGTTAACCATGCTGGTGCACTGCGGTTTGACACACAAATTTCTGAATTAATATGCAGATATCGCAATCACAATGTTTTCCATCTCCATAAGATGTCGAGATCGGTGTGTTTAAATTTAATTGTTTTTCAAAGAACTATGTCAATTTTCAACCTATATAAATAACTTAAATTAGACAATCACTTTTAAGTACAATTTAATACTATAAAGTTCTAATTTTTCATAAAAAAAAGAATATCAACAAAATGATATCTTCTATTAAACACTATTTAGAGCAAATTTTTTACGTTTTTATAACGTTGTGTATTGTGTGTGTGTTGCAGGACCTCCTATTCCAGAGTGATTGTGTGTCATTGCACTGCAGCCTAAACGAACACAATCATCACCTCATCAACGAGTTCACTATCAAACAGATGCGCCCAGGTATCAAACTTTGACATTATAACCTGAGATTTTGTAAGCAAAGATGAATAAAAAAAAGTATGATCATTGTTAAATTAATTAATTTTACCGTAGAGGCAATGGAGGAAAAGATTTTTTCTACATTCTTTCCAAAATTCTTAATGATTTCAAATGATTTTCATGAAAAATCTAGTAGACTAGTTAGTTTAAAAATTAATTAAAAAAATTCTTAAGTTGATGAGAATGTAAGCGTTATGTGTGTTCAGGCGCGTTCCTGGTGAACACGGCGCGCGGCGGACTGGTGGACGACGAGGGCCTCGCCACTGCGCTCAAGCAGGGCCGCATCCGCGCCGCCGCCCTCGACGTGCACGAGAACGAGCCCTTCAATGTGTTCCAGGTAATGTACTGATGTCATACATCACCACATCCTAGTTACTAGATTGCCTTAACTTCTACCTATCACACTTATATTCTTCTTGGTTTGACTCTTCAATATTGAAGGTTGAAAACTGCACAATATGTGTCTTGGGTCACTGCATAGTGTAGTATAGTAGTCTTAGTTTAATCCATATTAATTACTGATGTTTTAAGGTAAAATCAATTTGTATATTAATATGATGGTTTGTCTATAGGGTCCCCTGAAGGAGGCCCCGAACGTGCTGTGCACGCCGCACGCCGCGTTCTACTCGGACGCGTCGGCGCAGGAGCTGCGCGAGATGGCGGCCTCGGAGATCCGGCGCGCGATCGTGGGCCGCATCCCCGAGTGCCTGCGCAACTGCGTCAACAAGGACTACTTCCTGGCGGGCGGCGCCGGGCCCGTGCTGAGCGCGCCCGCGCCGCCGCTCGCCGCCCCCGCTCCCTACGGCGACGCAGTCAACGGCGGGTACTACGGCGGCGCGCAGGCGGCGCACTCAACCACCGTGCACGAGCCGCCCGCGCTGCCGCCACAACCCGCACCCCCGCCGCCGCAGCCCCCGCAGCCGCCCATCACGCTAGTCAGTAGTAGCAGTACACTATCACCTCGACCCTTCTTGTCATCTCTTCTCACTCTGTCACAAGCAATATATGACTCAGAGGTGGCAAACTCAGAACTCAAAAGGTTCTCTATAGATCTGGATATTGAAATGAGAAGTGATGTATAAGTAGAAGGAAGAGAAAAGAAAATCTTAGAAGCTTTGACCAATATTACATGTCTTCTGTGAGGTCTTCAATTTTGTATGTTTTGTGTGATGCAGAGTTATATTACTTTTAAGTATCATAGTTTTAACTTTTAAGTAAATTGTTGGTTTCATCCTTAAAATTATGTTCATGTCTGTTGTTTGATCACTGTTCCTCCATAAGGCAAAAATGTTATATTTATTTATTTGAACGGTTAATTATTTAACATGTGTACGTTGGTGTGTTGCAGCCCATCAACACTTCGGACCCGCTGAAGCAGGAGAGCTCCGACGTGCACTAGGCGGCGGCGCGCGTTACGTTACAGTACCGCGGACACACACACAGACAAACAATAGTTTTATTGATTCCATCGCAACTATGTCATAAGTACCGTATGTCGTAAGCCAGCGAGTGATATAACCAGCGGCGGCGTTTGCATTGCACCGGACGACACGACACGACGACACGGCGCGACACTGTGCGCCACTGTGCGGCACTGTGCGACACTGTGCTACTACTGCGAGGAACATTCAGAGACAGTGGATAAAAGAGAGCTTGTGAGACATGGAGGTGTGTCAGTGCAAACGTCGCGTTTGATGAATTAATTAAAAAAATATATATAAATAAACATTTGAGCGAATAGTTGATTCTGTGTTTGTAATTGGTAAGGACAGCTATGCATATATAATATTATGCGTGTGACGTCGGCTGTTTGTGTGGGGCTTAGCCGGGTTGTGCTGGGACATTTTTGGGTTTGTCCTTTAAATATTTTTTTTATTATTTTGGAATGGTTTAAGTTTATTTTGCCCATTCCCTTATTCTCGTATGTAATGGCAAACTGTAAAATGCCCCCGCTGTAAGATCCCACCGAGTGGCTTATATACCTTTTATATATAAAAATTAGCTGTTTGCTATGTATTATAGGAGCCCTAGTTGTCTGCATTTAGGGTAGTCGTGATGTGAACACTTCATTTGATGGTACAACTTGAATATGAATGAATTGTATCTGCTGCGGCACATTAATTATTATTTGATAATAGATTTTGTTCTAAAAACAATATGAAATATGTTACTTGCTTAGAGTATAGACATTTAGATATTTGTTTGTGCATGTCAAAGGTTTGCAGCCACTCGGTGGGTAGATGCAACAAAATACTGTTAATTTTAAGTTATCAACGACGTAGAACTATCATCACACCTTTATAACTAAAAAGAGGTTACATGTTTTTTTTCTTTTGAAATGTACAAAATCACGCTATGGTTTGATTAGTTTTTTTTTTCATTTTTTTTGTCTAAATAGAATTAAGTGATACGGATTTGTAAATGCGCTGCCGACAGCAAGTCGCAAGGCGCCGGGCCCCGGCCCAGCCCGCTACGGACGTGAGAAATTGGTATTTAAAAATTAGTATTTACTTACAGTTTTAGTTAATGACAAAACAATGTGTATATTTTATGAGAAAGTGAAAGTTCTTAAATAAAACTATTGTTTTCGGATTAATTACTTGAATGCGTTTTATTTTGTCTTATATCCCGCATTACAAAATGAAATTGCCAATCACAGGCCAAGTTATATGAGATGGGATAAATGGACTAGACTTTCCAACTAAATTACATTTAGGGGCTCTGACATGATTTAACGACTTAGTTAGAAAAACGAATAACAATGAACAAGGGTATATTTTTAGTTAAATTTTAAATGCAATTGCACAATATTTACAAATCATTTAATTTGTGTTTTTACAATTCAACACAGAATCAGGACATATTTATGTAATCTCTTGCAGTGTAGGTGTAGTTGGATGCAGCGGAGTTGGTACTTTCAGTCGCCGCGCCTCGTCCGCGTCGAGAGCTCGCTTCATTTCGTAATATTTTTGTTTGAACGAATGTAAATCTCCATTCGTTCGATCTAATTCACGTCTCAGATCAGTCACTTGATTCTCGCGCATTGCTAATTCTGTAACAAAATTAATATTTTTATTTACTAAACAGTGGGTTTTTACATTTATACTTATAAAAACAGTTATTTAAAAAAATAGATCACTATGAATACCAACAAAGCTAAAAAACGCAAATAAGGGTCAACTAGTGTTATACGTAACTTGCATAATAATCCTGGCAAAAACCTTACCAGCTATGAGGCATTTCATCTTTGTGGTGCGCTGCGCAAGCGCACGCTGCGTCCGGTTCAATGTTTGCTAAAAATCAGAAAATTACATTTATTTCCTACACATTTCAAATCATTTGACATACTAAATTGACAGCTGTAAGATATCCTAAGAGGGAAGTGAATTTAATTGTCTGACTACCTGTATCTCTGGGCTGGGCTGCAGAGCGAGCATGTCCTTCACAGCGCCGTACAGGTTCCTGGTCTCCTTCAGCTCGCGGTCCTTCAGCACCAGCTGCTCGCTCTGAGCCAACACCTTCCTGACAACAGACAACTCACACTGCATACAAAGAATATGTTCAAGAAGTTTTTACACACTTTTAGGCTAAAATATTAACAAAAAGGAAGATTATATTACTGAAATAAGAATAAAGTGTCATTTTGTATTGCATTTTCCATGTTTCTAATATTCAACTTTTCTCAATATAACTTCATATATAACCAGAATTTTATATCATCATCATCAGCTCACTATACGTGCCCACCAAGGGGCTCGGAGCCTACCCTAAGTTAAGGGTGATTAGGCCATAGTCAACCACGCTGGCACAGTGCGGGTTGGTTGACTTCACACATATCTTTGAATTTCTTCTCAGATATGTGCAGGTTGCATCACGATGTTTTCCTTCATCGTAAGAACGTCGGATAAATGTACATATGTAAATCGGAAAATCGAAAAACACATTGGTACATGGCGGGTCTCGAACCCAAGACTTGCAGATTGCAAGTCAAGTGCTTGACTCCTGAGCCACCGACGCTGCTCAGGATTTTATATACATGGATACATACATACATTTGGTCTTTCGAGCTGGCTAATCGGCCAAGGGGGGTTAAGGGTTGGAGATCAATCAGGGTATTTCCCATAAGGTCATTTGAGTCATGGATTGTTGGGAACACTTCTTACAAACAAGTTGAGACAACTACGGAACAGATCGCGGTCAAACAAGGAAATGACATTTTAAAACACGTTTTTTTAAGCAAATGTTTCAAAATGCAATTTTCTGTTACGAAATCGACCAATTGTAAATTTAAATTCGTGTAAATATTTTTATATTTGAGGGCGATGTCACAAAATAAGTCGTATACATTTTGAATGTTGAATGATTTTCCTGCGAACTCCATATAAATTAAAGATTTTAACTAGACACGTTACTCAAAGAAAAGTAATTTAAATTCAAAGTACGATCGTAATAGTTGTGAAAGTTATTAGGCCGAAAACTACGGAGGTTAAAATGATATTTGCCAGAGAGGATTGAGATGTTTATTCGGCGAGCGTTCAACGAGTACAGGCCGGTTAAAGAGGTTACATTCAGATTGGGAAGCATAATTAAAAATCTTAGGTTATGTAGGGTACTTCCCTACTTGTTCAAAAAACGTTGCTCGAGTAAAATTCCAGGCGCTGAGCGCATCGGCGAATTGGCGCCAACATGCCACCGGGCGTTGAAGGCTCGTCCTTCAACAGAACTAGTTGTCGTCATGAGGCAGCGGGCAGATCTTGCTGAATGCGCGGCGCACGACACCTGTCGCAGTCCGCACGTCGGCCACGCTGGATACTCCGTCCGCTCCGAGATGGACTGCCACGACTCGACCCAGCCGCCATTTTGAGCGGCGGCAGGTTATCTTCCTTCAGAATGACCAGAACACCTACCTGCAATGGGTTGAGATTAGAGCGCCATTTCGTCCTCAACTGAAGTTCAGAGATATACTCCTTGCTCCATCTGCGCCAGAAGTGTTGGCGGAGTTGCTCCAGGTGTTGATATCGGCTCAGTCTTCCAGTGGCATGGTGCTCGTAGCAGTCAGCCGGCAGCGCAGTGAGTGGGCGGCCGATGAAGAAATGTCCCAGCGTCAACGGCACCAGGTCGCTAGGATCTGCTGGGAGTGGCGTAAGCGGACGAGAGTTGAGAACTGCTTCGATTTGGACCAACACAGTGTTTAATTCCTCGTATGTGAGGTTACAATTACCAAAGAATTCTTTTAAGATGGAACTTTACAGATTTAACGCCTGCTTCCCATAGACCACCGAAATGAGGGGCGTGAGGAGGTAAAAAGTGAAAATTAATGCAGTCAGGAGCGTGGTCACCCGGTAGCGAATTAAGACTGCCTTTAATAAAACGACCGATTTCATTATACGCACCTACGAATGAGGTCCCGTTATCGGAATAAATGTGTTTAGGTTGTCGCGACGTGACATAAAACGACGAAGAGCCGACATAAAGTTATTACTGGTCAAATCACCTACTAACTCAATGTGCATGGCTTTAGTTGCGAAACACACGAAAACAATAATATAAACTTTGACAAGTTTGCAGCCGCGACCTTGACGACTGGCTGACATGATAGGTCCGGCGTAGTCGACTCCGACGGTATCGAAGGGACAACCACTCGCTGTCACACGTCGCTGCGGCAAGTTACCCATTATAGGATTCACTACCTTTGCTTTAAATCGACAACATAAATGACAATTACGAAAAGTTCGTTTAGCTAAATTTAAACCACCGATTGGCCAGTAAGTTTCTCTCAATGAACTCAATAATAAACGAGGGCCAGCATGTAAAAGTTTTACATGCATATATTCAAATATTAATTTATTAAACGATGAGTGGACTGTAATAAAATAGGATGCTTCTTTTCATAAGAAAACAATGAATTATCTAATCGACCGCCGACCCGCATTACATTGTTATTGTCTAAAAATGGACTAAATTTTAAAAGTTGATTCTTTGCGGGCAAGCGCTTATTTTGCAATAAAATATTATATTCATGAAATGACTCGACTTGTGATAATTTTAATAAAACATTTAAAGAATTTTGAAGTTCATCATTATTCAAAAAATGTGTTGATGGACGCTGTTTTTTGCAAATATTAATAAATCTTAAAACATAAGCCATAGTGCGCTGTAATCTTATAAATTTAGAAAAACGTTCGAAATTAATTAAAGCCATATTTGAGTTATTAATAATTAAAGTAATTTCAGTGCGCGTTTCAGGTAATCGCTCATTCAGCGTTATATTCTTTGGCCAAGAAGAAATATTATTTTTAAAAAACTGAGGGCCTGACCACCACATATCGAGATTTTTAATTTTATCAATGGTGACGATGCGCGAGACGTAATCTGCTGGGTTTAAGTCAGTAGGGACATGACGCCAAGCGTGCGAACTGGTCTTATCTACTATCTCGGCTACACGGTTACGCACAAGTGGTTGCAGTTTACTTGGCAACATTTTTAACCAGCCTAAGAAGATAGTGGAGTCTGTCCAAAAGGTCACCGATCTTACTTGCACTCGCAGAGAACTCAACACCTTTTTGTACAGGCGAACTCCAACGAGCGCAGCGCACATCTCGAGTCTCGTGATCGTGGTGGGCTTTATAGGCGCCACGCGACTTTTAGCTGAAGCAACCGCACCAAAACAGCATTATAACTCGTGCTGCGAACGTATAAACATGCACCGTAGGCTGCTTGCGATGCGTCACAAAAAATATGCAAGTCAATTGAGTCGTAACGATTGCAAAGTATAAGAAGAGGAACTCGTAAAGTAAGGACAAGCTGTCTGCTATTATTTGCCATAATTTAATTGTTTCATTAGGCAGTGGATCGTCCCAAGAAAGTTTAAGAAGCCATAATAATAATAATAATTTTAAAGGAAATAATGCAGGGAGCTGAGAAACCTAGCGGATGAAATAAACATTCGGACATAAATTTAATATAATGATTTCTAAACTCGGGTTGCCCCTTGAATTTTCTCTCAAGAGAAAGTAAACAATGTTTGGCGCGCTGCAGCGAGCCGCCTAATACATCAGGTGACTGTCAGCGGCAACCTGACACAGAACCGACCGTCAGACTGACGAGATGTATTTTTAATGAAATGTTCTTCGCACATTTTCTCTTCTTTGGAGAAGGATGAAGATTCAGGGCTGACCTCCTCGAGGCGCCAAAACCGCGTCAATAGGGTTTGAATGTCATCACTGGAATCATTGCACGAAGAAACATAATTATTTGATTTCACCGACACGAAATTGGTCTTAAAGTCAGAAGTCGAGCGTGCTTGGCCACTATTATACAAAGGACATCACGGGCTTCCCGGCTCCTAAACTAATTTTACGTAGCCCTAATAGATCCCAAAACACATCCGCACCAATAATTAAATCCACCGAAGATGGAGTGTGGAAGTTGGGATCCGCGAAAGAAAGGTTGCTAGGTAAATTTAAGTCTTTCAAAACTATTTGTTGACTGGGCACATCGTCAGTAATATTCGGCAAAACAAAACAGAAAATCTTTGTCGAAAAGTTTTCATTTAAAGATTTAATGGGTAAACAACACATTTCGCCTATTTGCGATTTTGAATTATTTATACCCAATAGTGACTCGTTTACCTTAACTGTAGGTAAAATCAACGATTGTTTCAATCGTTCACTAATAAGGCATGAAGTGCTGCCGCTATCTAGAACTGCGCGGGCGATACGCTCACCGCCGCGGTTGTCGACAATTTTTATAAGGGAAGTGGCTAAGAGTACCTGTGCTCTGTTGGGTAAATAGGTAGGAAGTTGGGCAGACAACGTGACATTACCGGAGGGCTCGTCACTGCATAGTGTCGGGGTTGCGGAAGAATGTGCGAAGCTGTCCTCAGTGTTAGAACATACATTAGCTGTTAACTTATACTTCAGATCTGGAATGTGAATTAAAACATTATGTCGCTTTTTGCATATTTTGCAACCGTTAGATCTACAAATGTTTGCATAGTATGCAATGTATGACCAGACCGCAAACAATTAAAACAAACTTTTAATTTGGGCAAAAGTTCCAAACGGTGTTCGCGTGTAAGTTCTAAAAACTTAGGGCAATTGAATAATTTGTGTTCGCTTTTACAATTAGGACATAGCTGCAACGAAGTCTTCTCATTACTTTGATTTTTTGGGCTTTGCGCAATCGACACCATACTCTTAATATTACTTGTCCTTTTTTGTGTAGGTTGAGAACAGCGAGATAACTCTAAAGTTTCCAACATGTCTGCACGGTTTCGTAAAAATGTTAGAAATAATTTAAATGAAATAGCAGTATCACAGTCCAACCTACCTTTGTACTCCTCCCACTCACGATAAGTTTTTGAATCTAATTTATGACTAATTATGTATATTAATAACGTATCCCAGTAACTCACGGGTTCTCCTAACGATTCTAAAGATCTAATATTTTTATTTATCGTATCAATTGTATGCTTTAAAATAAATGTCGACTCTTTAGAAATTGTCTCAATGTTAAATATA